GAAACTATTTTCCTCACATCATCAAAATGCAATCCATACATCAACTACATTCAACATTTCATTTAAAAGGGAAATTTACATAAACACATAATATTATTTTTGCATGCTTAGAAGTTCATATTATAATATACGTCCATAGATATGAGTTTGCATTCCTCTCCTACTAATAGTCACCACGAATTTAAACAAAAGGGTTCAATAAAATTTATACATTTAATACATTGATCCATACAAAATACATCGTGAGTTAGGATGCAACTACATGATTCCTTGCAAAAGTAGGTTTCCTAGGCATCTCGTTGATGTGATGTCCCTATTGCAGTGCAAAATATTTAAGAGAATGCAATTGCTTATTAGTAATAATGATAATTAAATGGTCTAGTAGGAAAAATAAAACATTAACATTATTCCATGGTTGATGCATGATATATGTAGTTTCTTCATGTACATAGTATACACAATTTATAGTACATATAGTTGCACCAATTCTTGTAATCAACCAAAATCTTAAACCCAGCTATCCTCTCAAGGTATCATTTCTTGAGATTAACCGTTCACTCACCCCGATCATCCACTTCGGATGCCTTTAGCCGAAGCTAATCAATCACTTGTCCCGATCATCCTTTCGGATGCCATTAGTCGAGGCTAATCATTCCCTTGTCCCGGTCATCCATTCGAATGCCATTAGCTGAGGCTAATCATTCCTTTATCCCGGTCATCCATTCGAATGCCATTAGCTGAGGCTAATCATTCCTTTATCCCGGTCATCCATTTGGATGCCATTAGCCGGGGCTAATCATTCCTTTATCCCGATCATCTATTCGGATGCCATTATCCCGGTCATCCATTCAGATGCCATTAGCCGGGGCTAATCATTCCTTTATCCCAGCCATCCATTCAGATGCCATTAGCCGGGGCTAATCATTCCTTTATCACGGCTATCCATTCGGATGCCATTAGCCGAGGCTAATCATTTCTTTATCCCGGTCATCAATTCGGATGCCATTAGCTGAGGCTAATCATTCTTTTGTCCCGGTCATCCATTCGGATGCCATTAGCCGAAGCTAATCAACCTTTTGACAACATTTACCATTTGACAATCTGTTATCTATTCTAACCCAATATGGTAACATTCATGTTAAAGTATCACATTATTTAACGTATGAAAAAGGAAAGTGGAAGTCACCTACCTGCTCCACCTGTGGTTTGTTCTTGTCTTGACGATGGTCCGATCCCGACCGCACCACCTAAGACAACAATGGTCACAATTCAGTACATTTGTATTTTTGAATCACATTTGTCACCACACTTATTTCAAAAGTTCATATATTCACATTCAAGTGTTCCACATTTTACACCATCATACCATGAAATTGTTACTAGCATTTAAGTCATTTTTTACTAGGAGGCTTATTGTAGAAATCAGCAACGAGAACTGGTTCGCTGCAGGCTGCCAAATTCAGCAGCGAGAATTGGTTCGCTGCAGGCTGCCAATTCGGCAGCAACAACTATTTCGCTGCCAGCAGCCAGTTCGGCAGTAAAAATTATTTCGCTATTGGCGTCACTGTTCCGGCAGTGACACGACGAAAAGATTGATGTCTTCTCCCAAGTGCAGGAGTGTCGAAGTAATAAATAACCCGGCAAGACCGGGGTCAAACCACAGGGAGGTTAATTGTACAAATTATAAACAACAATTATAAAACAACAATAACAAAAACAATAACAACAACAATAATAATAACAATAATAATAATAATAACAACAACAATAACAATAGTAGTAGTAGTAGTAGTAGTAGTAGTAGTAGTAGTAGTAGTAGTAGTAGTAGTAGTAGTAGTACTAATAATAATAATAATAATAATAATAATAATAATAATAAAGAAAGAGAAGAAGAAGAAGATGATGATGATGAGAACTTGGAGATCAAATATTAATGTAAGGATTAAGCAATAATAATAACAAATGTCAAGGTTAGAGGTTCCACTAATGGTATATCAAACAAGTATAGTATAAACTCTTATTATTGAATTGGAAACCACACACAAAGGAGGTTCCAATTAGATTATATATTGTTAACATGATTACATTAGTCATCTTATTCAATTAATGCTAATACTTGTAAATTTCATCAAGCATTCATGATTATAACTTATGTTAACAACAAATCAAGTTCCTTTCATAGCTCAGGTGTCGGTTATACCATACATTATGGGCTATGAAAGTGCCAAGCATTTGTTGTACCAAGTGTTATACAACATAAATCAAGATTAATCATTTAACAAGCAAAGTATTAAAGAGTGAACAAGATAACAAATATAAAACATGTTAGTATCAAACATTAAAGTCCATATTAAGTTTACATTATACTTATTCTTACACCATTAGTGTAACCTTTTCACCTTGACATAACTAACTTAGCTAGACATAATGAAAGAAAGCAAAATAGACAAACAAAATAAGAACATAAAAGTTAACTAAGTAAAGGAAAGGAAATGAAAGGCATAAACTTAATATTAATGAAAGCAAAGCATAAACATTACAAAAAATACAAAGAGAGAAAGGAAGAGCATGATCTTGATCTGGAAACCAAGATGCCTAAATGCATGGCAAATGCCTCCTTTTATTGGCCAAAATTGGGAACTATTGATTTGATGACTAATTGATAAGTGGGTGGCCAACTTTTGACTTGGTGACAATCCTTATCTTCTCTTGTCTTCCCAAAACGTCATTGATAATGTCAAAATTGGAGCCAGTTGCAAACATGAAAGTTGTAGGCAATTGTCTCAGCTTTCTTGTGTAAAACATTCAGCTCATTTGGACTTCTAGAACTCCAGATATGGCCAAAATACCGAACAGTGCTCGGGTTGGAAGATAGATTCGGGCTTCTTTGTTGTTGCTACAATTTGGACTTGATAATGGCCTTTTTAGATCTTGGGCTACATATGAAAGTTGTAGGCCTATGTCTTACCTTTCCATCCATATAAATTGGACCTAAATCTGAGATATATAGCTCTAGATATGACCCAATTACCGAACAGTGTTCCGGTTTGGATTGCACCGACATCTCTTTTCTAAGTTTGGCCATCTCTTTATCCTTGCAATTTAAGTTCTTCAAGTCATCAATCAATCCTTTCATTTATGTGATAGGCCTGCATTAAAAATAGACATTTACCACAAATTATAGGTATCTTATATTATTAGATACATTCTTATAAAACATATTTTAGTTAAGGAGTTATTGATACTTCAAGTGCAAAATGATGATATAAAACCTTGATAAAAGTGCACTTTTAAGTACTAATCACACCCCCCAACCAGCTTATTACTAGTCCCTAGTAATCAAAGCGTTAAAACAATTTGCAAATTTCACAAAGCAAGGTATTCATCATTTAACTTCCATTAATCTATCCAGATAAACAAACTCTCATTAAATTTATATATCTGCTCAATACCTACATGAAACTCGACAGCGAATGTTAATTTGCTGCAGACAACTCAACTTCATCAGCGATTCACTGCAGCCGACACAGTTTCGGTAGTGAATCGCAATTTCGCTGCGGAACATAAATTCAGCAGCGAATTCTAATTCGCTGCAGCCGACACAGTTTTGGCAGCGAATGCTAATTCGCTGCAAAACACCCAATTCGGCAGCGAATTCTAATTCGCTGCAGAAGACTCAATTTCGGCAACGCATACTTATTCGCTGCAGCCGTCACATTTTCGGCAGCGAATCGAAATTTGCTGCAGAACACACAATTCTGCAGTGAATGCTGATTGCTGCAGAAGACTCGGTTTCGGCAGCGAATGCTAATTCGCTGTGGCCCACACATTTTTGGCAACAAATCAAAATTTCACTCCAAACACCCAGTTCGGCAGCGAATTCTAATTCGCTGCAGCTGACTCAATTTTGGCAGCGAATACTTATTCGCTGTAGCCGTCACATTTTCGGCAGCGAATTGAAATTTGCTGCAGAACACACAATTCTGCAGCAAATGCTGATTCGCTGCAGAGGACTCGGTTTCGGCAGCGAATGCTAATTGGCTGTGGCCGATACTTTTTTGGCAGCAAATCGAAATTTCGCTGCAAAAGACCCAATTCGGCAGCGAATTCTAATTCGCTGCAGAAGACTCAATTTCGGCAGCGAATACTAATTCGCTGCAACCGATACAGTTTTGGCAGCGAATTGAAATTTCGCTGCAAAAGACACATTGAAAACCATCAATTATAGCATATATCTTTCAATCATTCCAGCAGAATACACACATTGAAACTATCCATTCCAGCACATAATCCTTCAGCCAATCCCAGCAAAACACACACATTGCATGCCGGCCAACCCCATAGTTAAAGTCGGCCCCCTACTATGATTTGTTGTTTCTATTTTATTCATTTTTCTTTGCTAGATGTTCTGAAATTGGCCTCATTTCATTTTTGTTTTCTTTGTCCTCTTAGTAAATTTTTGTTCTTCACAGTTAGCTTAGGTCATAGTTCAATTTTCTTAGGGTTTTTCTTCTTCATTTCCGGTTCTAAATCTTAAGGAGAAGAGGAAGGAAGTTTCATGACCCATACCTTACGAATTTAGCTAGGTTTGAGGAAGGTTTGACAGTGTTCTTCCTCCTCTCCTGCTGGTTTTCTTCCTTCTTCTTCCTCTCACGTTGGTTCCCTTCTCCTCTCTCTCTAGGTGGCTGTCCAATCTTCTCTCAAGGTCTCCTCTCTCTCCCTCACACGTTCACAAGGCTTAGGTTTCTGTTGGGAAGAGAAAGGGAGAGTAACAAGCAGCTGGACATACAGCTGCAGCAACTTTGATAAAAGCTAGGGTTACCTTCTCTCTCCTCCTTATATTTATACTCCCCATTAAATGAGGTGGGTGTTTGGGGGTTGGTTTAGATGTATTCTTATCCTTGTTTTGGTCTATCTAAAACCAGTTTTACCCCTCCCTCTCAACTCCTTAAGAAAATTATTATTATTTTATTTTTTTAAGACAAAAACTGCATCGCTGTCGATGCAGAAATCGGCAGCGGAAACTGCATCGCTGCCGATGCAGAAATCGGCAGCGGAAACTACGTCGCTGCCAATCGAAAAATCGGCAGCGAAAACTGCTTCGCTGCAGATGCAGAAATCGGCAGCAGAAACTGCGTCGCTATTGATGCAGAAATCGGAAGCAAAAACTGCTTCGCTGTAGATGCAGAAATCGGCAGTGGAAGCTACGTCGCTGACAATGCAGAAATAGGTAGCGGAAATTGATTCGCTGCAGATGCAGAAATCGTCAACGGAAACTGTGTCACTGCCGATCGAGAAATCGGCAGCAAAAATTGCTTCACTGCAGATGCTGAAATCGGCAGCAGAAACTGCGTCGCTGCCAATCGAGAAATCGGCAGCGAAAACTGCTTCATTAGTTCTGTCTATATATATATATATATAGATATATATATATTTTTCTTTTGGGTGTTTACATTCCCCCCCCCCCCTTAATAGGAATTTCGTCCTCGAAATTTAAGAGGTTCTTGATGCGATTCCTGATAGTTCTCACTTTCTCCGTGGTGACTTAGACCAATTCTGCGCCATATAACTTCCGGTCCCCGATTTCCTCCCAACATAAAGGAGTTCTACACCTCCTACCATACAAGGTTTCATATGGGGCCATCCCTATTCTGGCTTGGTGACTATTGTTATACGTGAACTCCACTAATGCCATGTGTTCCTCCCAGTTTCCTTCAAATTCCAAAACACAGGCCCGTAATAGGTCTTCCAAGACTTGGATGATTCTTTCTGACTGGCCATCCATTTGAGGGTGAAACGCAGTGCTCATGTCCAATCTTGTTCTCAAGGCATGTTGTATGCTTGGCCAAAGTGGAGAGGTGAACCTGGGATCTCGATCCAATACAATGGACACTGGAATCCCATGAAGCCGTACCACCTCATTTATATAAATCTTGGCAAGCTTGTCCACTGAGTCGGTCATCTTTATAGGCAAGAATAGTGCGGATTTCGTCAACCGATCTACGATAACCCATATCGCGTCATTTCCTTTCCTCCCTTTGGGAAATCCTGACACGAAATCCATGGTGATCATCTCCCACTTCCATTCTGGAATTTGTAATGGTTGTAATGGTCCCGCAGGCCTTTGGTGTTCAACCTTGACTTGTTGACATATCCCACACTTAGACACGTACTCAGCTATTTCCCTTTTCATATCAGGCCACCAATAGAGGTGTTTCAGGTCTCGATACATCTTAGTGCTGCCAGGATGTATGGAGAACCGAGACTCATGTGCTTCTTGTAGAACCATTCGTTTGACTGTTTCGTCACTAGGCACGTATAACCGTTGTCCCATCATCAAGGATCCATCATCCGCTACTCGGAATTTCATTTCTACTCCGGCCTCCACATTCCTCCTTATCTTACGCCCCTCCTTGTCATGGAATTGGGCATGTAGTATCTGTTCCCGTTACGTTGCTCGCACCAATAATTGGGCTACTAACCCACCTCCGGCATTAATGTCCAAATCTGCACCCATCTCTTTCAATTCCGCCAATTGCTGCTCCTTTCCCACTGTTAACCTTCCTAGGGTGGCTTTATTTTTGCGACTGAGGGCATCTGCCACCATGTTTGCTTTCCCCGGATGGTATTCTATGGTGCAGTCATAATCCTTAATGAGCTCTATCCACCTTCAGCTGAAATGACATGTCCCAAAAACGTCACTCTCTTCAACCAAAATTCACATTTACTCAGTTTTCCATATAACTGGTGATCTCTCAAGGTTTGTAAGGTTTGTCTCAAGTGTTCTTCGTGCTCCTCGAAAGAATTTGAGTACACCAGTATATCGTCAATGAACACCACCACAAACTTATCAAGATATGGTTGGAAAACCCGATTCATCAGGTCCATGAAGAGGGCTGGGGCTTTTGTCAACCCGAACGGTAGCACCAAAAATTCATAGTCTCCGTAACGAGTTCTAAATGCAGTCTTTGCTACATCCGCTTCTTTAATCTTCATCTGATAGTACCCTGATCTCAGATCTATCTTCGAAAATGCCCTCGCTCCCTTTAATTGATCAAACAAATCATCTATTCGAGGTAATGGATACTTGTTTTTCATTGTTATCTTGTTCAGTTGTAGGTAGTCAATACAAAGTCTATGGGTTCCATCTTTCTTTCTTACAAATAACACCGGTGCTCCCCATGGAGAATTACTAGGCCGTATGAACCCTTTGTCTAACAATTCCTGTAGTTGAGTCTTTAATTCGTTCAGTTCTGCCGGAGCCATCCGATACGGTTGTTGGGCTATAGGTGGGACTCCAGGAAAAGTGTCTATAGACACTTCTACCTCTCGCTCCGGGGGTAGTCCCGGTAGTTCTTCGGGAAACACATCTGGGAATTCCTTCACCACAAGAATATCCTTCAGTTGTGGACCTTCATCATCACAGTTTAAGATGTATGCAAGGTATCCCATACATCCCTTTCTTAAAAGTTTTTGGGCTGTTACCACCGATATCAAGGCAATTGGTTTGAGAATTCTCTCTCCTTCAAAAATCATTCTCTCGCCCTTAGGGGTTTGGAAAGTAACAGTTTTAGCATAACAATCTATTAGAGCCTTGTATTTACTCAACCAATTCATGCCTAGGATTATGTCAAAATCATGCAGCTCTAAAGGAATCAAGTCTACTTTTGTTTCATATCCAGATAGACTAACCCCCACATCCACATACACAATATTTGTTTCAACCATGTTTCCCATTGGAGTTCCAATTAAGAATCCCTTCTCTACTTTTTCTACTCCCTTTCTCAGTTTAGTGACAATTCTCTTAGCAATGAATGAGTGGGTGGCACTCGGATCAAACAATACATGCACATTAAAATCATTCAATAGTAGTGTACCTGCCACCACATCCGATGCAGCCCTGACCTCCTCCTATGTCAGGTGGAAGACCCTCCCCGAGGTCCTATCATTTTGTGCCCTCGATCTCCCTCGACTAGAGTTTGCTCCTGATTGAGAAGATCTCACTGGCCTATTCACGGTGACTGACTGTTGTTGGCTCTAGCTGGGTTGCCTATAGCTTTGTACCTGTCTAGTGTTCCTTTTTGGGCAGTCCCTCTTGAAATGACCTCTTCTGCCACAGTAATGACACCCTTGACTCAAATACTAGCAGTTCCTCCACCTATGACCTTCTCCTCTGCATACAAAGCATCGCCCGGGGGAAACTGAGCAGTCCCCAGGGTGTTTTTGCCCACATTTCATACAAAAAGGATAGTCAATACCCTTGCGGTCACCAGTCCCAGTTGAAGAGTTTTCCCTCGAGTGCGACTGTCCAACCATCACTCTCCCACTTGATTGTTGGTGGGGCGGTAACATCAAACTCCCCTTCTTCTTGTACTGCTCAAACACTCCACTTTTTCCTTTCTTCGGGAATGGTGGTCTGTTGCTGAAAAAGTCTCCATCTCTCTATTTGCCTATGCCCTGATATCCCCCCTGGCCTTCTCCAATACAAGCCTCTAAAGCTTGGGCAGCCTCAATCAACTCTCTCACTGATTTAAATCGTAAGGCGATCAATCCTTGTCTTAAGTCCTGTCGCAAACCATCTCTCAACTTCTCAATCATATGTTCCTCTGTTGGCACATAGTGTGGGGCAAACAATGAGAGATCATGGAACTTCCTTTCGTACTCCAATACCGACATATCACCCTGTCTTAATGCCAAAAACTCTTGTTCTTTCACCTTACGATGGTACCTGGAATAAAACTGATTCTCAAACTCTGTCTTGAAATCACTTCAAGTTAGTGTCTCGGTTGCAAGCCTCAGCTGAACTGTTTCCCACCATGTCATGGCCCTATCAGACAATAACTGGGTTGCACAGTTTACCCTCAACCCCTCGGGTATGCTTATTTGAACCATGGTCTTTTCTACCTTCCTAATCCATATTCCAGCTATCTCTGCATCTTGTTCCCCCATATACGGTTCATAGCCCATTTCCCTCATACTCTTGACTAGTCGCACCAATGGCACCACGTTATCTGTAGTCATGCTTGTCATAGGGGCTGCTTGTGGAATCTGCGTGGTGGGAGTTGCTTGTGTCGCCGAACCCGCCATACCCTCCATCACTACTTTAACTATTTATACAAGGAGTCCCGGGTCTATATATTGTGGGGGCACACCAGTTGGAATAGTCAATGGTTGTGCTTCTAATCTTTCTTACTGCACTGCTACAACTGGGGGTACTCCCTCTATTTCGTTAGACCTCCCGCCATCCCCCGCTACCGCAGCTTCCCCCTGCAAGGTTTCGGGTGGTACTATCGGAGCATGAGATGCCATATCATCCAAGGGATCTTCATCTTGCCAACCTTGGGCACCTTGGTTCCCGCCTCTCCTATCTAAGGAGGGCGGCTCAGTTCGTGTCCCTTGTCGGGTGCGTACCATCCTGAAATTCACCACACCAACACAATTATCAGTGATCCCCAGGATCTAAACCAGGGGCTCTGATACCAACTATAACAACCCGGCTTTTCAAGCCCCAAAACAACAGAATTTTTTTTTCTTTGACACACATCATGTCGGTAAATTGAGAACCTATTTTCCTCACATCATCAAAATGCAATCCATACATCAACTACATTCAACATTTCATTTAAAAGAGAAATTTACATAAACACATAATATTATTTTTGCATGCTTAGAAGTTCATATTATAATATTACATCCATAGACATGAATTTGCATTCCTATCCTACTAATAGTCACCACGAATTTAAACAAAAGGGTTCAATAAAATTTATACATTTAATACATTGATCCATACAAAATACATCGTGAGTTAGGATGCAACTACATGATTCCTTGCAAAAGTAGGTTCCCGTGTATCGGGTTTCCTAGGCATCTCGTTGATGTGATGTCCCTGTTGCAGTGCAAAATATTTAAGAGAATGCAATTGCTTATTAGTAATAATGATAATTAAATGGTCTAGTAGGAAAAATAAAACATTAACATTATTCCATGGTTGATGCATGATATTTGTAGTTTCTTCATGTACATAGTATACACAATTTATAGTACATATAGTTGCACCAATTCTTGTAATCAACCAAAATCTTAAACCCAGCTATCCTCTCAAGGTATCATTTCTTGAGATTAACCGTTCACTCACCCCGATCATCCACTTCGGATGCCTTTAGCCGAAGCTAATCAATCACTTGTCCCGATCATCCTTTCGGATGCCATTAGTCGAGGCTAATCATTCCCTTGTCCCGGTCATCCATTCGAATGCCATTAGCTGAGGCTAATCATTCCTTTATCCCGGTCATCCATTCGGATGCCATTAGCCGAGGCTAATCATTCCTTTATCCCGGATGCCATTATCCCGGTCATCCATTCGGATGCCATTAGCCGCGGCTAATCATTCCTTTATCCCGGCCATCCATTCAGATGCCATTAGCCGAGGCTAATCATTTCTTTGTCCCGGTCATCCATTCGGATGCCATTAGCTGAGGCTAATCATTCTTTTATCCCGGTCATCCATTCAGATGCTATTAGCCGAAGCTAATCAACCTTTTGACAACATTTAACATTTGACAATTTGTTATCTATTCTAACCCAATATGGTAACTTTCATGTTAAAGAATCACATTATTTAACATATGAAAAAGGAAAGTGGAAGTCACCTACCTGCTCCACCTGTGGTTTGTTCTTGTCTTGACGATGGTCCGATCCCGACCGCACCACCTAAGACAACAATGGTCACAATTCAGTACATTTGTATTTTTGAATCACATTTGTCACCACACTTATTTCAAAAGTTCATATATTCACATTCAAGTGTTCCACATTTTACACCATCATACCATGCAATTGTTACTAGCATTTAAGTCATTTTTTACTAGGAGGCTTATTGTAGAAATCGGCAACGAGAACTGGTTCGCTGTAGGCTACCCAATTCAGCAGCGAGAATTGGTTCACTACAGGCTGCCAATTCGGCAGCGACAACTGTTTCGCTGCCAGCAGCCACTTCGGCAGCAAAAACTATTTCGCTGTTGGCGTCACTATTCCGGCAGCAGATGCTAAATCGTAGGGGACAACTTAGTTTCGGCAGCGAATCACAATTTCGCTGCAACCAACTCAACTTCGGTAGTGAATCACAAATTCACTGTAGAACATGAAACTCGACAGCGAATGTTAATTTGCTGCAGACAACTCAACTTCATCAGCGATTCACTACAACCGACACAGTTTCGGCAGTGAATCGCAATTTCGCTGCGGAACATAAATTCGGCAGCGAATTCTAATTCGCTGCAGCCGACACAGTTTCGGCAATGAATGCTAATTCGCTGCAGCCGACACAGTTTCGGCAGCGAATGCTAATTCGCTGCATAACACACAATTCGGCAGCGAATTCTAATTCGCTGTAGAAGACTCAATTTCGGCAGCGAATACTTATTCGATGCAGTCGTCACATTTTCGGCAGCTAATCGAAATTTGCTGCAGAACAAACAATTTTACAGCCAATGCTGATTCGCTGCAGAAGACTCGGTTTCGACAGCGAATACTTATTTGCTGTAGCCGTCACATTTTTGGTAGGGAATTGAAATTTGCTGCAGAACACACAATTCTGCAGCGAATGCTGATTCACTGTAGACGAATTAGTTTCGGCAGCGAATGCTAATTCGCTGCGGCTGACACATTTTTCGCAGCAAATCAAAATTTCGCTGCAAAACACCCAATTCGGCAGCGAATTCTAATTCGCTGCAGAAGACTCAATTTTGACATCGAATAGTTATTTGCTGTAGCCGTCACATTTTCGGCAGGGAATTGAAATTTGCTGCAGAACACACAATTCTGCAGCGAATGCTGATTCGCTGTAGAAGACTTAGTTTCGGCAACGAATGCTAATTCGCTGCGGCCAACACATTTTTGGCAGCAAATCGAAATTTCGCTGCAAAACACCCAATTCGGCAGCGAATTCTAATTCGCTACAGCTGACTCAATTTCGGTAGCGAATACTTATTCGCTGCAGCCGTCACATTTTCGGCAGCGAATCGAAATTGGCTGCAGAACACACAATTCTGCAGCGAATGCTAATTCACTACAGAAGACTCGGTTTCGGTAGCTAATGCTAATTCGCTGTGGCCAACACATTTTTGGCAGCAAATCAAAATTTCACTCCAAAACACCCAATTCGGCAGCGAATTCTAATTCGCTGCAGCTGACTCAATTTCGGTAGTGAATACTTATTCGCTGTAGCCGTCACATTTTCGGCAGTGAATCAAAATTTGCTGCAGAACACACAATTCTGCAGTGAATGCTGATTCGCTACAGAAGACTCGGTTTCGGCAGTGAATGCTAATTCACTGCAGCCGACACATTTTTGGCAGCAAATCGAAATTTCGCTGCAAAACACCCAATTAGGCAGTGAATTCTAATTCGCTGCAAAAGACTCAATTTTGGCAGCGAATACTTATTCGCTGCAGCCGTCACATTTTCGGCAGCGAATCGAAATTTGCTGCAGAACACACAATTCTGCAGTGAATGCTAATTCGCTGCAGAGGACTTGGTTTCGGCAGCGAGTGCTAATTGGCTGCGGCCGATACTTTTTTGGCAGCAAATCGAAATTTCGCTTCGAAAGACCCAATTCGGCAGCGAATTCTAATTCGCTGCAGAAGACTCAATTTCGACAGCGAATACTAATTCGCTGCAGCCGATACAGTTTTGGCATCGAATTGAAATTTCGCTGCAAAAGACACATTGAAAACCATCAATTACAGCATATATCTTTCAATCATTCCAACAGAATACACACATTGAAACTATCCATTCCAGCACATAATCCTTCAGCCAATCCCAGCAAAACACACACATTGCATGCCAGCCAACCCCATAGTTAAAGCCGGCCCCCTACTATGATTTGTTGTTTCTATTTTATTCATTTTTCTTTGCTAGATGTTCTGAAATTGGCCTCATTTTATTTCTATTTTCTTTGTCCTCTTAGTAAATTTCTGTTCTTCACAGCTAGCTTAGGTCATAGTTCAATTTTCTTAGTGTTTTTCTTCTTCATTTCCGATTCTAAATCTTAAGGAGAAGAGGAAGGAAGTTTCATGACCCATACCTTACGAATCTAGCTAGGTTTGAGGAAGGTTTGACAGTGTTCTTCCTCCTCTCCTGCTGGTTTTCTTCCTTCTTCTTCCTCTCACGTTGGTTCCCTTCTCCTCTCTCTCTAGGTGGCTGTTCAATCTTCTCTCAAGGTCTCCTCTCTCTCCCTCACACGTTCACAAGGCTTAGGTTTCTGTTGGGGAGGAGAAAGGGAGAGTAACAAGCAGCTGGACATACAGCTGCAGCAACTTTGATAAAAGCTAGGGTTACCTTCTCTCTCCTCCTTATATTTATACTCCCCATTAAATGAGGTGGGTGTTTGGGGGTTGGTTTAGATGTATTCTTATCCTTGTTTTGGTCTATCTAAAACCAGTTTTACCCCTCCCTCTCAACTCCTTAAGAAAATTATTATTATTATATTTTTTTAAGACAAAACCTGCATCGCTGCCGATGCAGAAATCGGCAGCGAAAACTACGTCGCTGCCGATCGAGAAATCGGCAGCGAAAACTGCTTCACTGCAGATGCAGAAATTGGTAGGAGAAACTGCGTCGCTATTGATGCAGAAATCGGCAGCAAAACTGCTTCACTGCAGATGCAGAAATCGGCAGCGGAAGCTGTGTCGCTGACAATGAAGAAATCGACAGCAGAAACTACTTCGCTGCAGATGTAGAAATCGGCAGCGAAAACTGTGTCACTACCGATCAAGAAATCGGCAGCGAAAACTGCTTCGCTGTAGATGCAGAAATCAACAGCAGAAACTGCACGCTGTTGATCGAGAAATCGGCAGCGAAAACTGCGTTGCTACCGATCAGGAAATCGGCAGGGAAAACTGCTTCATTAGTTCTGTCTATATATATATATATAGATATAGATATATTTTTCTTTTGGGTGTTTACAATTACTGTTTTGTGATCATTGTTATGACTTGAAATTGCCTCTATCAATTTTGAAACATAATCTACTACGACTAATATGTACAAGACACCAAATTATGGAGGAAATGGACTCATGAAATCTATAC